ACCGCCACATTGAGTTGGAATATAAGATTATTGCTGTTAACAGTTTCGCTGACATTGATGTGTCTTTGCTGGAGATGCGGGATGGCGAGTTTGTGGTTGTGAATTGCATGCTTGTATTCAGCAAAATATTATCTGAGGCATTAGCTCTGGAGAAGCTGTTACAAAGGGTGAGGGATGTCATGAGAGTGGATGTTATGATTGTTGTAGAGCATGATGCTAACCACAATCAGTCTGATTTTTTATTGCGGTTTAATGAATCACTTAGATATTATTCTTCTCTATTCGGACAATACGATCTTTTCAATGACAGCGAGCCGTATTATAGATATCAAATATGCAACATGGTGGCGTGTGAGGGTAGTAACAGGGTGGAGCGGCACCAGACGTGGGCTCAATGGAAATCCTTGCTTATTCATTGTGGATTTTCTATTTTTAATTCGTTTATTATATGGGAAAACGAAGAAGATGAAGAGTGGATGGAACATGGTATCTTGGTGATCACAAGTGGCGAAACAGAGAAGCGGCCATTATTTTTCGTTTCTGCCTGGGAAATATTGACATCCCCCTCCAAATCATCGGACTCTAATGAAGGTTAGTATCTTCTTCCGAGTTAAACTGGCCCCTTAACACTAACCAAAAATATTTATTTTTGATTCCACAAGGTTTAATTTTTTACAGCATTTTTTAATTTAGTGGTTTGAGTTGTAATTTCATTAAACCACCTCAATTTCTGCCTAATCAACTCAATTTTCTTGAAGTCCAAAAAAAAAAAAAATTCAATTTACTTATCCTCTAAAAAAAAAAAGAAACCTCAAATTTTTAAAAATCTTGACTGGCTTAATTGGATAAACTTTTACTTGATTAGTTACACAATATGCTAGAAACTATAATATTTATTTATCTTTTATTTTAGGCTGATCGTGTTTTTTTTTTTTCATCTTTAATTGCTCTGCAAAATAGGCATCATTTCTTCGGAAAGCGACCGCCTTCAAACTTTCCTAATTTCCCCAGAGGTATTCTATTTTCTTCCTATGCCTTATCTTGTTTGTCAAATATACAAATCGAAAAACATTGGATTCCTCATCTTGGTTCATCTTAATTAATTAATCTCTCCATTTAATTTTAGTGAGTTTAGGCTTTTTTTTTTTATAATAATAAAATAGGGATGTGATAATTAATTAATAAAAATTTATATTTATCATTAATTTATCACTACTTAAATACGTCTTTTTATTTAATATATGTTGTAATTATCTTCTTAAAAAAAGGGTAAAGTATGAATAGACACATGAATGATGCCCTAAATATAAACTGCAATGTTATACTTACAATGTCATGTAGAATTGTAACTTACAATTCTACATGACATTAAATTAATATAACATGACATTAAATGAGTAAATGCATATAATATCATAGAAGAACCCTTAAATAAAAAGAATTAATTATATAATGACATATCATAATGTAAGTTTATAATGTTACATGGTATTATAAGTATGACATTTTTAAAATATGAAAATTGGACAACTAAATCTAAGTCTTAAAATTTGAATGGAGGGAGTATATTATATAATTGTAAATATTTTGATGATGCAATATAGGCAATTTGTTTATGCTTTTAAATGGATAAAGAGGGTGAAGGATCTATTCCACATGTAAACATATCTATAACATTTTGATCAAATTAGAGTAAGAGTCAAAATTTTAAAACTTATTTAAGAGGTTAGGAATATCTATTCCTACACGTAATTATTTTCTACTAAGTTAGTGGGTGATTAAGGAATAAGTATTA